TGTATCCTGCTACTGTGCTGAACTCTTTTATCACCTCTAAGAGTTTTTTTGTAGATGATTTGGGCTGTTCGATATATAGGATCATATCGTCTGCAAACAGGGACAGTTTGACTTCATCTTTTCCAATCTGGATGCCCTTTATTTCTTTCTCTTCTCTGATTGCTCTGGCTAAAACTTCCAAAACTATTTTGAATAGGAGTGGTGAGAGTGGGCATCCTTGTCTGGTTCCTGTTTTTAAAGGAAAAGCTTTTAGTTTTTCCCCATTCAGGATGATATTGGCAGTGGGTTTATTGTATATGGCTTTGATTATGCTGAGATATTTTCCGTCTATGCCTAATTTATAAAGGGTCTTTGTCATGAATGAGTGTTGGATTTTATCAAATGCTTTTTCGGCGTCAATAGAGATGATCATATGGTCCTTGTGTTTGATTTTGTTAATATGGTGGATCACATTTATTGATTTGCGTATGTTGAACCAACCTTGCTTCCCTGGGATGAATCCCACTTGGTCGTGGTGAATGATCTTACATATGTGTTGTTGTATTCTGTTTGCTAATATTTTATTGAGGATTTTTGCATCTATATTCATCAAGGATATCGGCCTGTAGTTTTCTTTCTTGGTTATATCTTTACCTGGTTTTGGTATCAGGATGATGTTTGCTTCATAGAATGTGTTTGGAAGCTTTGCTTCTGTTTCAATCTTTTGGAATAGTTTGTAAAGAATCGGTGTCATTTCCTCTTTGTCATTTGCTTATTATCCATTTGTATATCTTTTTTGGAGAAATGTCTGTTCACGTCCTCTGCTTATTTTTAAATTGAGCTATTTGTCATTTTATTTAGTTATAAGAATTCTTACATGTTCTGGATACAAGTCCCTTATCAGATATATAATTTGAAAATATTTTTTCTCATTCTGAAGATTGTCTTTTCACTTTCTTGATGGTATCCTTGTTCGAAGCACAGAAGTTTTTAATTTTGATGAAGTCTAATTTATGTATTTTTTTTCTTTTGTCTCTTGTATTTTTGTCTTTTGTATTTTCTAAAGAAGTCTTTGTCTAATCCAAGATCATGAAGGTTTAATCCTTTGTTTTCTTCTGAGAGTTTTATAATTTTAGCTCTTACCTTTAGGTCTATGACCCATTTTGAGTTAGTTTTGGGGTATGGTGTAAGGGAGGGTCTAGCACTGCTTTGCATGTGGATATGCAGTTGTCCCAGCATCATATGTTGAAAGGACTATTCTGTCCTCATTGGATGATCATGGCATAAGTAAGCTTCTCCTTATTTCTTCATTTAACTCAGCTTTACTATTGTTTGACTCAAGGTCAAGAACAGGTTGATAAGAAAAACAGCAAGGTGATTACATACGATGTATTACCTTTTGTATAAAATGGAGGAAAATACACATTTATGTGCTTGTATATGGATACAGGAATTCTGGAAAAGATACAATAAATATTGTTTAAATGTAGAGGAGAAGAAACAGGGTGGGAGAAAGAACTTTGACTTTTTGAGCCTTTTGAATATATGAATTATTCAAAAAGGTTAAGTTTTTCAAAGATAAAAAATGAGAACAAGTTAGATAGAATAGCTATGAGAGGTGCTCTAAATTTCTGATACTAGCAATCTGTATGAACCACTGGTAGAGCCAGCTACATAATTTGCAGACATGAATGAAAAATGAAAATATGGGACTCCCAGGGCCCAGGTACCAGCTGGAGGGAAGCAGGGAGCCAAGAAGCCATTCCAGGGAGGTGGTAGGAGGCAACCAGGCAGGAGCTGAGGCTCCACACCCCAACACACACTGTTATAGTCCATTTCTGTTGCTTATAACAAAATTACCTGGAACTGGATGATTTATAAGAAAATGAAGTTTATTGCTTACAGTTTCAGAGACTGAGAAGTCCAAAGTCTAGGTAACACATCTGGTGAGTGTCTTCTTTGGTGGTGGCTTCATAGTAATGCAGGTGTCTCATGTGACAGAAAATGGTAGAGCAGAGAGAGAGCTCCTCCTGTGCTGTCCTTTTAAAGCCCCCCAAACCACACCATGACCATCATCAAGCTATCAACTTAATCACCTCTTCAAAGCGCCACCTTTCAATTACCATAAAGGATTTCCAACCCTCAGAAGTTACTATGGGGATCAAGTTTCTAATACATAAAACTTGGGGGACACAATTCAATCCTTATCACACATAGTCCGTTGTCCCTTCAGATGTCACTTACAAAACAAATTCAAAGATGAATTTCAGTGCTTAAGAATTCAAAGATTAACAATTTCAAAAGGATGCCCACAGAACATTAAATTCCAGTTGTGGGTCCCTTCTGAGAGTGGGTCTATGTGCAACCTCACTGGTCACCTGCCCATGATGCTGGCACTGATGACTGGGTTATGTCATCCTAGGCTCTTCCTCACCTGCCCTTTGTGCAGCTCCATTCCAGTGATTTTCAGTAATGCATTTGGTATTCTGCTGTGCTTATGTCACACGATCTTATGCTTCACAGGAATAAAGACACTGGAAATTACTACTCCTTACAACAAAATTTCCCATTGTATAAGTAAAATTTGCCAAGAATATTAAATAGGTGAAAAGAAAGTCATGGAAACGATAAGCTTATACTGTAAAAACAATGGAATCTTATTCAGCCATAAAGAGGAATGAAGTTCTGACACATACTGCAACATGGATGAACCCTAAAAACATTATGCCAGACACAAAAGGACAAATATCATGTGGTCGCTCTTCTATGAAATATTTAGAGTAAGCAAATTCATAGAGACAGAAAGTAGATTAGTAGTTGCCAGGGACTAGGAGGAGGGTGGAATGGGGAGTGCCTGCTAATGAGTACAGGTTTCTTCTGAGAGAGATGAAATGTTCTGGAATTAGGCAGTGGAAATGGTCTCACAACCTTGTGAATACATGAAAAGCCACTGAATTGTATACTTTAAAGTGGTGAATTTTATGGTATGTGAATTATATTTCAAAAAATAAGTTCATCGGTTCAAAAGTCTGTGTTACACAGACTTTTAAATGATTAAAATTATTGTGTTGTTAAATGTTAAATGATTGTGTTAATTTTTAATAACTTCTATTGAGGATCAGGTAAGCCTGAAGAGCTGCCATTTCAAATATGATTAAAGTCTCAAGGCATTATTCAAAAAGCCTGCAGTGTTGCTATTCTTTAACATTTCTCTTGGTCTGTGTAAGAGCCGTCATTGGTTAATGAGAGGGAGATGCACTCGTTACCTTTTTATAGTAAAGGGTATAAACTTTCATGAGTGGTTCTTGTGTATTTTTCTTTAGAAAATGAGTAAAGAGATGACTAAACTTTGAAAACATCTTTTTGGGAATATAGGCAACATCATAATACTAGGATAATGCTGAGTGTTTTAGAAAGAAGATTTTGTCTGAGGGTCAGTAGTTACAGTGTCCATTCAGTGGATTCAGACTTAACCTTGTTCAGTAGTCTACCTTAAGGACCTTGTTTAGTGTAGGAAAAAGCAGCAGCAGCTGCCTCGTTTGCTAGAGAATTCTAAATCCTGACACTTGTTTTACTGAAAGTTGAGAAAAGTCTTTGAAGATTTCATACATAGTGTGGAGTTCAGTTGCTGTTGCTATCAGTAGCTTAGAGTGGTTGAAAAAAATTGACAGTAATAAGGTAAGTTTTTGAAGGAACTTTTTGTTCTCCTGTCTTTTGTTTATCTTCTGAACTTATTATTTAGTAGAATGAGCTGTTTTAATTTCTTTGACTTTTATGATCTTTGCACCTATCACAGTATCAAACATGTTATGGGTGTTCAATAAATATTAACCAATGACAAATCCTTATTGTTTAAGTCTGATGTTAGATCCCTGAAAATAAATATGGTATATCTGTTGTTTATTCCTTTTTTACAACTGTAAATAACCAGGCATCTCTTATAATTCGTTATTGTCTGGACTGAATGCTATTTTACACTGAATTTTTTGGAAAGAAGAGAAGCAAGAATTTAGTTCTTGGGGTGGAATAATTGGAGGTGAACATTTTAATTACCTCTCTCTGTGGAAAGATGTTTTATTCAAGACAGAGCTTTTGATGTCGTGAATAAGTCATCTCTGTGCAGTATTTTAGGTTAATGTTCATTATTCTAATACATGCTTTTTCTGCTTGAAGAAAAAGAAGCATATTAATCAACCCAGGAATCAATAAACAGTTCCTAAGGGGTCAGGTTGACATTTAGCTTTAAATGATTTTTCTTTTTTTCCTGTTAGAATTTCTCAGGCTATAATTAAATCATTCTCAATTTATTACTTGAGATTTCTTTCATTTTGGTCATATTCTGCTGGATCTTAGCTTTAGGTAATCTTGGAGATTTTTTCCCACCTTTGAGGTATTGCACAGAGTTTGGGATAGTAACTCGAATTTTTCAGCATAGTTATTGAATATTTAAAGATGAATAAATCACAATTCCTGACATCAAGGAACTTATAGTATAGAGGAGATGACAGAGATACATGCAAATGCCTGAAATACAGTCTGGCAAGTGCCATGTTGGAGGGAGTAGGTGGAATTCTCTTGGACCACAATGGTCAAGCACTACTCTAATACCATGGAGTGACATTAATGATGAGGAGGCTTGGGTGGCTCAGGGAGAGCTGCATAGACCAGGTGACTCAAGGTGGGACTTACAGAGTAAATGGGAATTCACCAGGCAGTGGGAGGAGCACATGCACAGGCAAAGGCTTTACCACGTGTGTTGAGGCGTTTATGAGGATGGGCTTTCAGCTCAGAAATGCCTGGCTCAACATGGGGCTTGTGGGCAAGTTCTTCATGATTCTGGGTTCAGATTTTTCATTTGTAGACTAGAGATAATATTCTCTAGGTTTGCTTGGTGGGTGGAATGAGAAAGCACAATGTTCGTTAGCTCTGTGGAAGAAAGAAAGATATAGTCAGGTTAGGAGATTTGCATTTTTATTTCTCCAATGGACTAGTCTCACCATTGATTTTTATCCTTGTTGTAGGTTAAAGCAGCGACTGGAGAGGAGGTGTTGGCTGAGGATCTTGGAGGTGCCGATCTTCATTGCAGGTGAAACAAAAACAGTCATTTCTTTCCAGGATTGATTGTCATTTTGTTTGTTTAAAAGAAGTCTTAATTTTCCCAGAGCTAAACTTGCCAGACTAAACCACAGTTTATTTGTTCTCAATTTGCTGTTTTAACACTCAGTTCTTTGAACTGTAGAGTTGCATTGCCAAGCTAGAGCATCAGATGTTTTTCATTATAGCTGAGAAGGACTGGAATGACAGGTTTCTTACTTATTTAACAAACATCCCTTGGGCGCCTGTTTTTTGCCAGGTACTGTCCTATGTGCTGGGGTAATAAGACAGACACGTTTTTGACCTCAGGGAGCTTCATTCTAGTCAGGGAGGTGGGCAGCAGTGGACAGTTGCCACAAGATCATGTAATGTGGCTGATGTGTGAGAAGGCCGACAGGAGGATGTAGGGAGAACATACGGAAGGTGGGTTTGACCCGGGGTGTGCAGGGAAATGTTTCATAACTGGCTTTCTGGGGAGAATAAAGCTACCAATATGATGCCACGCTATGTGGAATCAGGCAGAGGTGCATGTCATAGGCTCCTGTGAGTCAGGTGTGAGCTGGCTCCGTCATGTCGCTGGTCTAACCGTTGCGGGTTAGAGTTCAGGAATAAGAAGACCATGTACCTCCTAGAATGTTGTGAGGAGTAATGAGCTAACACAGCTGAATTGCATGAAACAATACCTGCTGTCAATAAGCACCTATAAATGTTAACTGCCATTTTTATTGTGCTGTTTATCATCGTAATCAGTCACTAAGGGTTTTGGATTCTTTTTTTTTAAGAGTAGTCAGGAAACCATTGAAGAGTTTTAAGCAGAGATGTCCTATTATCAAATAGTCATTTAAAATAATCCCTCTTCCTGCTAAGTGGAGAATGCTTGGAGTGTCGGCAGGAAGCTAAGTGGGGACCATTTGGGTAGTTAATAGCACAGGTGAAAGGTGCTGTGGCTTAGGTGGTTGTGAAAGTAGAGGGGGTGAACAGACTTGAGGACTTATTGATAGGTTTCATGTAAGAGGTACAGGACAGTGAGGTGACAAAGACGATGACCTGGAATGGTTTCATTTCCTGAAAATTGGGATGGCTGGACGAGGAGCAGATTTGGGGATGGGGCAGAGGGATCAAGCATTCATCTCTAATCTGATAAGTAAGAGCTGCTTGTGAGACATCCAGGTAGATGCTGCTGAGTAGGCAGTTGGTTCTTAGAGTCTGGGGTCCAGATCAGGGCTGGAGATCTTTATTTGGGAGTTATCGACATAGAGATAGAATTTAAAGCCATGGGATTAGATGAGTTCACCTCAGGGTGAATGAAGATAGAAAAGAGGGCTCAGGACCATGCCCTAACGAGCCTAGACATAAATGGCAAGTAGATCTAGTCATCTAGCCCGGTGGCCTAGCACGTGCAGTAAACCTCCTTTTGCTCTACCACACCCCAAACCCCAGGAGGGAGGTGACTATGGGAGGATCCAGGAGGAGGGATAAGAGGATAGGTAGTAACATTTTTACTTTCCCATCAAAGAACACTACTATGCCTTTTACATAGTTGGTTAAGGGACCCCTTTACCTCAGGTTTTCATGCATACCTTTCTCACTGAACACTTATTGTGGATAGATTAATTGTACTGTTATGAGTAATATAGAAAAATTTCAGGTCTAGTCCCTGTCCTCAAAGATTTATAATTTAATTAGGCAGATAAGAAAAATAAGTGAATGAACTAAAAAAACTACAAGATAAGTATGTTAACATGCATCTGATTTTACAACTAAAGGCTAAAGGAAAAACGACTAAGGGAATGACTGAAGTGCAGTGAGGTAGAGAAAAGCTTAAAGGGACAGGTTGAGTTGTGCCTGAGTTTGAACAGAACACTTGCTTGTTTGGGGAGCACAGCTGGGGGAGCACAGCTACAGAGTTACTGTCTGTCTGGCCACTTACTGACCATTACGGGGAGACAGTAAAGTGATTTGCCTGCTGCAGTGGATTTTCAACCCAGAGAGAGGGTGACATAGGGGTATAGGACAAAGCGGAGTTCTTGTTTGTAGTTGCTTAATCAGGGGAATGAGGTGAAGACAGTGTTTGAGGAGCATTAATTTTTACAAAGTTTTGACTGTGAATAAAAGTAAAGCTGTATGCAGTATACCAATATATTTTTCAGGTGTATATTTTTACCTGACTTTACAGATTTTTTTTTTTTATACTTTGTTGGAAAATCATAGTACATCTACATCTGAGATAACAAGCTGTCTGATTGGGACAGAACTAATAACCAGATAAGCCCATGCTTCATTTGCTGCACTTGAACAGGAACTTCCATGGCCCTCACCACAGAACCCTTTTCTCAATTCCCATTTTTACCCATAGTCCAAGGAACAGTATATTCAAGCCTTTTTATCTGTTACCTGTGACGGCCTACTCTCAGGTATAATTTTGTAAGGAGGGGGCTCAGCAGTCTCTCAGAAATGAGAGACCGCAGTTGACATCTTCATGAGAAGCTCAGGTACATACACTTGGTGCTGTTGCCAGCTGCGTCATGAATGAGCGCCATCTGCAGTCGGACTTCATCATACACAGTTCTGTTGGAGGTGCACGGACGAGCACTTCCCAGAAGCCCTCCTTACCAAGGCCCGTAATCTAGCAGAAGAAGGTCAAGGTTGAAAAATAGAAGGCGTGGGTTCCTGTGCTGCTACTCATGGTCCCAGGGTGAAGTACTTATGTGTACCTCAGGCGTTCCTGCTTGTAAAACAAGCACAGTACTGTTTTGCCAGGGCCATTATGAGGATCCAATAAAATGACATTTATTAAACTGTTTTGGAAGTAAAAGTGCTGTCATCCTCATAAGAAAAAGATGTTTGGGGTTTAAGATACTTCATTATTTTCCTTTTCCTCGTTCTGATTATTTTAGTGTGCTTTACTCTGTAGAAAGTCTGGAGTAACTGACCACTATGCTTTGGATGACCATCATGCCCTTCACTTAACTAGGAAGGTTGTGAGGAGTCTAAATTATCAGAAGAAACTGGATGTGAGTAGCCTATGTTCTTATATCTTTTATTGCATTTTGGCTTATGTCACCTTGAAAGCATGCTTTTAAACAGGTTAATATGATTGTTCTATATTTCTGCAGGTTACCATTGAACCTTCTGAAGATCCTTTATTTCCTGCCGATGAGTTGTATGGAATAGTTGGTGCTAACCTTAAGAGGAACTTTGATGTCCGAGAGGTATGTAAAAGTGGAACAGTGAGCTGTAAACCAGCTGTCAGTCTCTTTGTGTGTGTGTTCCATTTTCAAAGCTAAAGTTTGTTAGGATGCCTAGGGATTGATGTGGATCTCAGTAAGGAAAGGGAATATATATGGAAAAGATATCTTTCCATACTGTACGTATCATTGGTACACAGTAAGTGCTAAAAGGTGGGGGGAGGGGGGGAATCCTCTTAATGATGGAAAAGTTTTCATTGTACCATGACAAAGTGTGCTTTGTTCATAATAGGACTCCATATTCCTGTGGACATTAGCAATGACATAGGGCAACTTTGTAATTTTCAACTATTTCTTTTCTGTGTTCTTATTTTGGGAAATGGATGAAATGTCAGTAAGTTGGAGGAAAAAACATACCCTTTTAGATCAATATGACATTAGCAAAGATTAGACTTGATTACAGGTGAAGATGTTGCTGTGGTTACACATTGTTGACATAGTCCTCTGTAATCTAGATTGACAATTTTGCTTGTTTGCATAAAGCATGTAGTCTTTTGTTCAGTGTCTATGCTGACGGAATATTTTAAAATTAGGGAATGATCTTAATATCAGATTTTCAAAATATCACATATCAAAGTAAGCTTTTGTTTTATGGAAAGAAAGATGTTGGGAAGCATTCACTCATTTTTCAGCCTTTGCTTTGTACAGAAGAAGGCTTTGACTCATGTGGTAAACAGAAAAAGGGAAACGCAAACTGTATAGAAGAATAATGAGTGTCATCTGAAATAGTTTCTGAAGAAGTTTGGAATGTACTTTATGTATAGAACTCTTTGAAATAGTCCTGGTGTATAATGATGAGCCCCAAGGATGAACACTTTAGTGATTTCTACTTCTTTTAGATTAACAATAAATATGTGGTGGATCCTTCATGTAGATCAGATTCAGAGTGAATGAAACTTTATTGAGGGCTTAATAATAATAACAGCTACCTTTTAGTGAAAACCAGTGCTTTAGTTAGCACTTTTTAAAGATCATCTTTATTAATTTGTTAATTTATTACTTTATGTGCTTGTAACAGATGAGGAATCTGACGCTTAGAGGATTTTAGATAACCAACCTATGACTCTAGTTTCTCAGTGGAAGAGCTGGAAGTCAGAGCTGGTCCTTTATCTCAGCATTATTTTCTTAGATCCCTTTGCTACAATTTCATCATATCTTTATAGCTTTGTCCGATCTTTCCAGAAGTGAAAATAGTGACTCAGAGGACTTAAGTGACTTATTCGAGGACACACAAATCATATGTGATACCTGAAATTGGAGCCTGTGTCTTCTGACTCTGAGCCTTATCTATACCCTGCTTTCTGATTGACTCCCTGAACCTCCACTGATACATTTGAACAGTCCCCGAAGCACCAAGTCTAGCAACCAGCCCATGGAGTCGCTTCTGCTTCTCTTGTATGCAACATGGTGCTGTTTTTTTTTTTTTTTTTAATTTTTTAATTTTTTAATTTTTTTAAAAGATGACCGGTAAGGGGATCTCAAACCTTGACTTGGTGTTGTCAGCACCACGCTCAACCTGTGAGCCAACCGGTCATCCCTATATGGGATCCGAACCCGTGGCCTTGGTGTTACCAGCACCGCACTCTACCGAGTGAGCCACAGGCCGGCCCGGTGCTGTTGTTTTTATAGTGAAATGTCATATCAGCTCAGAATGACTTCAGGACTTTAACCATACATGTGAAGTGAAATTCTAGTGAGACTTTCTGTGTTGGTTGAAATTTTGTGAAAGTAACAACTTCACTGTGAATTTTTTTTCTTATATATAACTTTAATGCAAAAATTCTTCTGTAATATAATTTCTCAGGGACATTGTTATTTTTCCTCTTAGGTCATTGCTAGAATCGTGGATGGAAGCAGATTCAATGAGTTCAAAGCTTTATATGGAGACACATTAGTTACAGGTATAATGGTAAAGAATTGAAAATATGAACATTTTCTGCTGCTTTGAAAATTAGTGATTTCTTGTCTCAAGGCTTTGATACAGTTGGCATGAGCTTTGTGATTTAGAGGACTACAAATGTGTGAATCAGTTTTCAAAAGGAGCTGTTTTATAAAGATCATTTGTAGCTGAATGTCTTCATAGATCCAGAGAGTTTAAAATGATGGTGGTTAGATGGTGCGGTATAGGCCCTTATCTGTGACTTTGTGACATTAGCTTTATTATAAAAAGGTTCCTTTAGTAAAACTAGTAGAAAATATTTGTAGTTCTTTTTGTTTCTCTGGGTAACTACAATTATTTTGAAAATTTCAGCACTGTCTCCATTATTCTTTAGTCTCCAATTCAACTAGTAAGTTTTTAATGATGTTTAACTTTTCAGAGGGATATAGAGTGAGTTAAACCTCACAGCCTCTGATTCATGCAAATATCAGATTGAGAATACAGTGTATCATGTCTGGAAAAATAAAATAAGGATGTTTTTAAAAGTTAATTCTTTCATCTAAAGTGTTAAGTTTGTAGGCCTTTGAAGAAAAGTATTTGAAACAGATGTGAAACCCATAGTAATCTCTCTTGGGAAAATGGCAGGACAAATTTTGTGAATTTTACTTGTTCATAAAAAGCTTGAAAATATAGTAGTTAATCTGAGCAGGAAAAAAACTCACTACAGAAATCCAAATAGCGAATATACATTGAGGCTTAAGGATGAGTCACAGCACTTTCTCCTGGTTTGATTTGTGAGCAAGAGAAGGGTTCATGCTGAGAGAGGAATTTATGTTTTTGTTTTTAGGTGTTTAAGTGATTAAGAGCTTTTTGTTTGATATATAGATAGGATTTGTCACCAAATAGTTCGGGATGTAACCCTCAGTTTAAGTGAATGCTGTTTCTGCTTTATCTAAAGATGGATGGGCTGTCCTTGTCATCTACTTTTATGTATTTCCCTTGTACTTGCTGAAAGACTTGTGGCACCTTTGTGCCCTAGAATACCAGGGACACGTCCAGTTTTCTCCATCTCTTCTTGACTACTGGAATTCCAATAGGGCTGGGGCAAAGGGGGGAGAGTGGGAAGGAGAAGAGGAGAATGGGATGGGGGGTGAAAATGGAGGAGATGAGAAGGTGGGCATAAAGGGTGAGGAGGTGAAAGGGGAGAACAGACTTTGCTGAGTGTCTCTGGAAGTTCTTAAAAGTTTCCTTCTGCCTCAGCACTTGCCATGTATAGGTCCTAGTAGTTTCTTGGATGTTTTAGAACTCGGGTATGGATCAGGCAGTTGGAGAAAGGCCTTCCTCTATGGGTGTTTCTAGTACAGTGGGGCATGTGCCCTACTCAGCAAGTCCTGTCTGTGCCTGGAGATCCCCAGGCAGGGCCGAGTATGGATTGAATGTCTAAGTAGTTAATGGTTTTACATCTGCAGGGGTAGCCTCTGACTAGTGAGTCACGGGCTAGATCCCATCTCTCTGTGGGGTGAGGCAGCACTAAGAGTGGACTGCTAGGTAAACTTCCTTTTGGAAGTTTACTCCTCTCTGAATTGCTTCTGTAAGTGGCAGTGCCATTTAGGATGTGCAGCATAGGCTTTTGGCTGGGGTTTTAAGTCCTGGAAGACAAAGAGAAATCTAGGTGGCTATCAAATCAGTGTTTCATTAAATAACATGATTAAAAAAAAAAAAATCAAGGCAAGGCCAGAGTCAAGAACAAAAACAAATCTTTAAAAATACAATGGTCTGGCTTATTAATATGTTAACACTCTTATTTATTAATTTTTCTTCAGTGGTTTTTTTGAGCACCTGCTTTGTCGGGCACCACAGCCTGTCTAGCTGGAGCTTGCAGCGACAGAGTCTAGTTGCAGGGATTCCTGTAGTGTGCTTTCGGTGACCTGTTTTACCAAGTGCTGTGTGTTGATTCACGGGCTCCAAGTATTCGACACCTGTTTATGGTTAGGAGACTTGTTGGAAATCGCTCTTGGGGAAGGTCACTCTAGTCAAGTTCTTCAGGTTTGCAAAATAATTAGCCTCCTCTGTAATCACCTAAAGTATCTGCCTCACAAAATAACAGTTTTTTAAAATTTTTCTCCATTCCTCTGTTTTCTTCTCCCTTGTTTCCTCTGTGTGTTTATGTGTGTGAGGGTGGGTGTTGGAGTGGTGGTGGAGGTGATGTTGAGACACTGGAAAGGAGAAAGAAAAAGATGCATGCAGAGAGAAAATGAAAGTGGAGTGATGTGTTCTGCTAAGCTTACCTGGATTTCTTACTTTATATTTGGGTTACCTCTAGGCTAGACTGCCCTTGTGTATTTTTTTTTTTTTTAATTTTGTTTTCTAAAATTGTCTTTGCTGAGTTTATCCTTTTTATTTTAAGAGCTTGTCGGGGCTGGCTGGTTAGTTCAGTTGATTAGAGCACAGTGCTATAACACCAAGGTCAAAGGTTCAGATCCCCCTTACCTGCCGGCCAGCCACCAAAAAAAAAAAAAAACTTATCATTACCAGGCATTTTCACGCATGCTAAGCACTAGCTGGTAACTCTGAACATTGACCTTTAAAGGGTTCTACACCTTTGGTTTGTTATATTCTAGAGTATCTCTAGGGTCTGGTACATACTCAGCATGCAGATATAGTTAAATGAATGAATGGATAACACACTAAGCCAATTATTTAACCAAAAACCTGTCAGCGACAAATGGATAACTTCACATGTGACATGACCCTTTAAGAAGCGAAAAAACCCCCCAGACTCTACTACTTAGGAATAAAAAATTGTGACATGAGCTGTTTTATGCCATAGACAAAATCTCTTCACATTTTAAACTTTCATCTAAAATTAAATAATGTATAAAGACATCTCTTTGTGGATTAAAAGCCCTCTGAAAAACATAAATCTTTTAAAAATTTTCTTTTGAGGATTTGCTCGAATATTTGGATACCCAATAGGTATCATTGGAAACAATGGAGTTCTCTTTTCTGAATCTGCAAAAAAGGCAAGTACTGTTAAAAAAATTTCAAGATTTTCTGTTTTAATTTAACATAATTAACTTTGAAAGTCAAGTAATGATTTAAAATTTATTGCATACGACCTTTAAAATGTTTAACAAGATGCCTTAGCAGACAGAACACTGTGTGTGCACACATGCACGTGTTTGTTCATATTTGAAACAGTTTTTATGATGGTTTACATTAATGTGATGTGATGAACTATCTGGAACACTATTACAAAACCAGGTGTACTTGTTTTAGGAGAATTCTTATAAAATACTTGAATTATTGCTATAGAGGACATGGACATATTCTAAGGAGACAGGGAATACTTGTTCTGAGAATGTTTTAGTGCTTCATGCACTGGAGGGGTTCAGAGATCCTATTCAGGTGGTTCTGAGACATGATCTGTCTGTTCTCTTCTATCACGTTATCAGTGTAACTTTATTCCATTGTTACTTTTTGGAAATGGGAAGATAGTGGATCTTTGTTACTGGAGCTCTGGCTTTAAAAGAGTGAATTCTTATATATCTTTTGGCTTAGTATTTGATTTCATGCATTGTTATCTCAGATAAACTTGGATAAATGTAATTCATGTACCTCTTTGATAAAATGTTTTCTTAAGAAAAAAAGTTTAATTTTGTTTTTCCTCTTGAAATAACAAGATACAGGGTCTCTTATTGATGCAGGTACCAGGTGGTTAAGCTCTTTCAAACCCTAACTGAGGAAGAATTTGTCTCTGGTGAAATATTTTACCAATAAAATTAGTTTCTATATTCTGCTACTCATTATTGTTTCCTCAACTTGATTATAGAAAGAAAACAATAAAGTAAAAATATAGAAAATAAGAATCGCCATAGTCATACCAGAAATAACTGTTAGTAATATGTTATTACAGTTTTTTAGTTTTTTCTATTCATTTTTTAAAAAATAAAACTAAATTGATATTGCCATATACATAGCAATTTTGCTTATTTTTATTAAATAATATGTAGTATTTCCTAAAATATTAAATATTCGTGAAATAATGATTTCTAGTGAATATATAATATACTATTTCAACAAATGAAATGTCAGACTGAGGCCAAACAACTTCATCTGGTTTTATTTGTTGGCTTGGCACAATTAAACCCTGGAGGAGTTACGTTTGGTCTCAGTCTGACATTTCATTTGTTGAAATAAGCCCCGAAGGTCTATGTGATTTCCTCATTCTTGTAAACCTAGTCATAGTGAGGTTGAGTAATTACTTTGTAATCTTGTACCTGCCAAGGCATTTCCAGCAGAATTAAAGGGATCTGCAAATAGAATAAAACATAAAGGAAATGGTTTATAGGAGTTTTCTTACAAAATCTTTAGAAGATAGGGAAGGAATTGTTAAATTTTTGTATCACTAAATAATTTCTTAAATTCAAGGTTAGAAGTTCTCTAGCACTCATCTAATCTAAAATCCCATTTATTTGGGGCATATTGGTAAAAAAAGATTTATTTTACTATAATCTTGATGCATTTAAGAATTTCAGATGGTCATCAAAATGTAAATGTCATCCTTGATATCCCAGAAGGGTTTATATTCTATGTTTTCTAAAGTGGAGAACTAGCAACTTTGCTATCTTTTAGCAAAGTCCAGCACTTCTGTTGACAACAGTTCTTTCTTTTCTGTTACTTAAGTCTCACTGCTGTTGGAATATTAGTGATTGACTTCATCCCTGACACAGCAGTCTTACAGCCATGTGCCCTTGATTACACAGGTGATTGTGTAAAACAGGTGCAGTGCAAACTCCCAGTCTCACACTAGACTATGATGATTACTATTAATATCAGGTCAGATTAGCCAAGCAAAGGGTATTCTTTGTTGTCTTTGACCCAAGTTGTGGTGTTCATAGGATGCATGATGATTACAGAGTTGTTAGTTCTCTTTTGAAAATAATTTTTATGTTATTTGCTTATAGGGTGCTCACTTTGTTCAGTTATGCTGCCAAAGAAATATTCCTCTGCTGTTCCTTCAAAACATTACTGGTAAGAAAATAGCTTAATCAGTTTGGTTGCATTTATTCCAGAGCTGCACTGACCAATGTGGCTATGTATTGGGCAGTGCAGATATAGACCACTTCTGTCATAGCAGAAAGTTCTATTGGACATGCTTGTTCTCTTGTCTCTTTAAGGGTTAACGCTTGTAGGGAAGGTGAAGGAAAATGGTCAGGGCCCTTCAGATGTTCAGAATCTTGCTCAGCATTTGATATAAATATGCATGTGCACCCAGGTATTCCTTGGTTATTGTCTAGTGTAATTGTGCATGTGCACCCAGGTGTCCTGGGTTATGGACTTAAGTGGCTCTGATTCCCAGGACCCCTTGCCCCCAGGATGCCCCCCGGGGGGGAGGGCGACCGTTGGGAGGCTGCTACTGCTGCTGGAGGCTGTTGCCATTAGTGCCCACGGGATGCCCTGAAAGGCCACACAGCTGCTGCTTCTGCTGTTACTGCTGCTGTAAGCTGCGGCTGCTATTGCTGAGGACTGAGCTCATGTCATCTGCCAGTGGCTACTGGGATCTTTCCCAATTACCCAGCCTAGCATGTGAGGGGTCTGGTGACCCAGTATGTATAGTGGGTTTGAAGGGCCTGAGCCCTAGCCCTGACAATACATAATGGAAACTTAGTATAACTAAAATGATGAAACGTTTTGGCTTTAGCATAGCTATTGCTGTAACCTGACAATTGGCATAGTCATGTAGCTTTACAGCACTTTTCTTCATGAATGTTAAATATTGAGGTTATTCATATTTTCTGAATAAAGCATTTTCTGAGTCCTGTGCATCACGTTCATTGGAATGGCCTCCCTCTTCTCCTGCATGTGCACACCCATGTCCAGGAAGCAGCAGGCTAGTCTGCCAGCAGCATGTCTGATCACTGCTAGAGCCAGCTGTCTGATCCATTGTCTCTTTTCCAGGACTTTATTTCCCCTAAAGGATTTCAAGCATGTTCCTCGCTTTTCTTTATCTTTTATTGTGCTGCTAATTCTACCCAAAGCAACATCTTTTTAAAATGTACATGCACATTCTGAACCAAAGTCTGGGGATTTGAGTTTTGACCCCAAAGAATGGTGTGACCAAAGTGAGTTATGTCACCTCTCTGGACTTTATGTCCCCTCTCTGGACTTTATGTCCCATAGATGATCCTAACAAGACAGATGAAAAAAAAAAATTTTTTTTTTTTTTTGGTGGTTGGCTGGTACAGGAATCGAACCCTGTACCTTGGTGTTGTTTAGAATCATGCTCTAACCGACTGATCTAAACAGCCAGCCCTGATTTTTAAGGTGTCTTGTATTTCCAGAGTTCTCTTTCCTAGAATTCTCTGACATACTTCTTTGTGTGTTGCACAGTGCCTGGCATATCGGAAGCACTCAGATGTGTTGGTTAGCTGAAAAATTTCCTTTTTCCTCCCAGTCTTCTAAGTCATCCATGATTACCTCAGGTTCAGAGAAGGAGAGGCTCTTAATTAGGTTGTTGGGATCAGGCAAGCCTTCATGAGAGAGAGAAGCCGGGCTCTTGACAGTGAGCAGGGCTTTAAATAGTGCTGGTGCTAAAACATCTTCATCCTGTTGCAGATATTTGGTTAGATGAGTTTTGAGAGGAGTTATGTCTGAATGGCAGCCTGAGAGGGCCCTGTGTGGCAACCCATGTAAAAGTGCAGATAAAAAGGATTCTGAAGCTTAACTGGTCCAGGGGTCTTGTTTCTAATAATGGTTTATGGATTATTAATCACCAGTAAGTTAAACACTGTGCTTGGAAGATACCTACATTTTTGTTTTGTTTTGTTTTGGCTGTGTTGGGGGCAGAGAGCAGAGCTGAGTTTAGTTTTGCAACAAAGCATTTGAGGAACTTGTGAGATATCCTTTTGGAGATATATAATAAGCAGTTGAATAAATTTTGAGCACAGAAGGGTTTGGTTGGAGATGAAAACAGAGGCATCATCAGAACATGAAGATGGCATTTAAGGCCGTGAGAACAGATAAGAACACCCTGGAGAGAAGGGAAGAAGGCTCAGGGACAGTCTTTGAGTAACTCTAATTTCTTCCATAAAGATAAGAATAGAGAGAGATTATGCAGTTTTTTAAGGTGAGAAGGAGAAGGTTTTGAGAAAACCAAGTGAGATGGCCTCCTTTTTCTGTTGAAGGCAGGGTCTTCTACAGGGAATAGAGGAGCAGGGGGTAGGGGCTGAGGCTTGGGGGTGTGAGCTTGAAGAGAGCTGACATTTGAGATAGCTGTGGTGGGGATGTTGCAGGGAGTCAAGATGAGCTGGGTAAAGGAGCTTCTGAGCTGCTCTGAGGGCCTGGCTGAGAAGGGTACCTAGAGGAAGCAGACAGTGCCCCGTAAAGGCAAAGGCTGTCATTCCCGTGGTAATTGCAGCAAGTACAGGTGCTCTGTAAGCATTGGTTAAATTCAACTGGATGACAAATACTGGAGATTTGCAAAGCAGGAATGGTGGCAAGTGAATCTTTGGTACGTGGATGAAAGAAATGCCTTCACTGGAGACTGGGTTGAGGAGGGAGACAAATGAAGTCTGACTTGGTGTTTATAAGGTGAAGAGAGAAGAGCCCAAGTCCTGGAAGGCACAGTGAAGCTGCAGAGCAGTCACCAACAGAGCTGGGGGCTCGAAGTAGAAGGGTCCCCTAATATAATGAAAAAAACTTTTTTTTTCAACCTTGCTATTGACTCACTGGCAGGGACTGTTAGCATCTCTATGAAACATTAATGTTTATTACATGAAAGTTTTAAAGCTGTACTTCAGAAGGAACAATCTGTATGTTTAAACCAGGTCAGTGAATACCGAAGCCCTCACATTTTGGTTTGCCACAGTACTTTTTTCTTAGTTGCCCACTTCACATTCTTTCACCATCAAGCTTTTTTGAGATAATTTCTTGAAGACAGATTGCATCGTTATGTAGTTGGGAGATCTCTGTGTGCGTCCAGATGAAATATTTTAAGAGAATTTAAAAAGTGATACAGAAGATTTTATTTTTCCTTTTAAAGCAGACTTTTTTGGGGGTATATTTCACATATAAATATTTTGTTAGGGTGAAAGACTTAGTAGAGTTTAAGACAAGATGTCCTTCCAGTGCCTTGGTGGAACTGACCTCTGTACTTTAATCCCATCACCCAGAGGCTCTCTGTTTCTGTTCTTTCTGTCAGGATTTATGGTTGGTAGAGACTATGAAGCTGAAGGAATTGCCAAGGACAGTGGCAAGATGGTGGCTGCTGTAGCCTGTGCCAAAGTGCCTTAGATAACCGTCATCACTGGGGGAGCATATGGGGCAGGAAACTATGGAATGTATGACGGAGCATATAGCCCAAGATTTCTCTACCTGTGACCAAATGCTTGTGTCTCAGTGATGGGGGGAGAGCAGGCAGCCAATATGTTAGCCACGATAGCAAAGGACCAAAAAGCACAGTAAGAAAAACAGTTCTCCAGTGCTGATGAAGCAGCTTTAAAAGAGCCCATCATTAAGAGGTTTGGAGAGGAAGGAGGGTTGCGATCCTGTTGCCGGTCCCCGGCCCGGTACGGGGGCAACACTGAGGGTTGCGATCCGTTGCCGGACATGGAAAAAGACAAAAGACAAAAAAAAATAAAAAAAATAAAAAAAATAAAAAAAAAAATAAATTTAATGCTGAAGATACTGTTTGGAAGAAATCTACAATGAGAATCAGGAAGTATTTGAAGTGCTGCTAATGAAAATACTACATATTAAGACTTGTGAGATGCACCTAAAGTTTTTCTTTTTTTTTGTCCTTTTTGAGACCGGCCGCACCGCGCTCAGCCAGTGAGTGCTGTGAGCGCACCGGTCATCCCTATATAGGATCCGAACCTGCAGCGGGAGCGCTGCTGCGCTCCCAGCGCCGCACTCTCCCAAGTGCGCCACAGGCTCGGCCCCTAAAGTTTTGTTTTGAGAAAAGTTTATAGCCTTAAATGTATATGCTGGAAAAGAAGAAAAGCTGAAAATCTGTACACTGAGTATCCAGCTCAAGAAGTTACAACAGCTACATATTAAACAGAAGAAAAATAAAAAGGACATAATAAAGAACAGACATAAAATAGAAGATTTTGTAAAGCCTAAAGTTGGTTTATTTGAAAAGGTTAAATGTGATAATCCCCTGGTAAAACTAAAAAAATTAAGACAAGGCACATATAATCAATGTCAGGAATGGAAAACAGGACATAACCACAGAAAATAAGACTCTTATACCCAGAATCAGCTGGAGAACTTAAAAATTACATCCATGCTTAGCCCCACCTCTGGAGCTTGGTCTGGTGTGGGCTACAAGCATTGTTATTTATTTATTTTTTTAATGCTCCTCAGATGATTGTAATGTGCATTTAGAATCAATCACTAATTTAAAAGGCAAATGGGTCTCTGAAAATCTCTGTGTTGTGTATTGAATTAATTTGGCCATCCTTCCCCCCAGCCCAAGATTTCTCTACATGTGGCCAAATGCTCGGATCTCAGTGATGGGAGGAGATCAGGCAGCCAATGTATTAGCCACAATAGCAAAGGACCAAAAAACCCGGGAGGGAAAACAGGTAAGTGCCGTTTCTTCTCCCTCTCAGTTTGCCTCTCACAGTGAACACTTGGACCCAAGGAGCAGCATGCCAGGATCCCTCTGTGTGGGGTTCCAACATGCGCTGCCTGGCTTCACTTAGAAGATGCTGACCTGGACGTTGGTTTCAGCAATTTAGGCTTACCCAGACATTTTCTCTATCCCTTTTTAATTTTTTTGGGGGCGGTTGGCCAGTACAGGGATTTAATCCTGGACCTTGGTGTTATGAGCACCATGCTCTAACCAACTGAGCTAACTGGCCAGCTCCTTCTGTCTCTGTTTTTAAAAGCCATTTAACTGGGGGTACCTTCTTTATAAATTTTTCATAATTTCTAAGAAAACATTTTGGAAACTGCCTGGAAATGCCTGAGGCATAACGATGTTGGATTCTTAGTCATTTGCAGCAGTGAGATTTAAATAAATCTGTTTTATTACTTCTTTGACTGACACAAAGCAGAATTTTGTTTTTTCTGTTTTACTTTTAGATTGTTAAGGATACCTTGAGTGGGAGGGCTCAGTCATCTAATGAGAATTGAATAACATTATTTTGTTATAGTGTGAAAGAAGTAATGAAGAAAAATGGAAAGGGCAGTGGAAATGTGATGAAAGGCTAATGAGCAAGTGGCTGCTTTTAAAATGCATTCTTTTGTTTGTATTTCTGTTAGAGATTCTTTTGAAATTTTGCATTAATTTTATTTGTTAGAAGTTTTAACTATTTTGTGAGAGCACCAAGGCTTAAAATGATTGATGTGTGTTCTTGAAGCTGCGGAGATTCTTTTGAAATTTTGCATTAATTTTATTTGTTAGAAGTTTTAACTATTTTGTGAGAGTACCAAGGCTTAAAATGATTGATGTGTGTTCTTGAAGCTGCATTGTTGTGTCACCTCAGCAAGGTTTATAAAATGGAAGAGGAGAGGCCCTGCTTTCTCCATTCAGGGATCATCTGGTCTACCACCTAGTTTGCAGAGTAGGATAATATAAAGCATACATCTACTCATGCTTCAACCCCCCCATTGTCTTTTCCAAGCAGCAGGAACTCTGCAGGCTTAAATTGAGGTTTTAGATTCATTTAGTAACATCTGGTATCAAAGCAAAAGGGAAGCTTGTTTTTGTGTTTTGTGTCCCAGTAAGAGGGTGGGGGAGGTGGTATATGAAATTCTACCTGATATTTTGAAGATGTGTCTTAAACTCTATGAAACCCAGCATGGTGATTTCTTATTAAATAGTTGTTCTTTGATTAATTTGATATACAGATATTTTAATTACTTCATTTTTATATATGAAAGAGAAGTAGAGTATGTTAGTGGTTCTCGCTCCAAATTCTGGTCCTATACAATTATATTAAAGTATTTACATAAAAGAAGGTTAGGATTGAGGGTTTATTTGAAATAAGTCATTTGTTTCTGGTGCAGAATTTTTTTTAAGTAGAAAATATGTTTTAGGGTTTCAAATAAGTTCTCATAAAGATTTTTACATCTGAATTAATTATTGTTTAATCCTTATAATACTGATGGGAAAGCCATTAAATTTTTAATTAGGGAAAAATAGCTCTCAGCTGCCTGGGAAATTGAATGAAGAGGTTATTCAAGATGTGGTTGATATATTACTCTTTTAAGCTTTAAAATTTTGGGGGTTTAGGCTATTTTGAATTAAAATCTCATACTACTCTACCTTCTTTCTTAACTAGGGTTGCTAAATGTAATGTAGTCCTTTTGTTAAATTGTATGATTGACATCCATTTTTGTACCCTGCTGGGATACAGTGATAGGTGATACCCTTGGTTTTGACCTTACATTAAATGACCTCAGGTTGTTGTCTCTGATAAAAGAGGTGCAATGGTGCACTAATTTGATACTCATGTCTCAGGTGAGATCCATGTATGCTAAGGCATCACTTGTAATCTGTATGTCACTTATGCAAATATTAGTTGTAACATTATTATTCATGAAATCTGTTGTCTCTCTTTTTGAGATTATCTAAGTGGGATCAGTAGTTCCATTGAAGCTGGCTGACTTACTTATGGTCCCTTTTCTTTTAGTTTTCCAGTGCTGACGAGGCAGCTTTAAAAGAGCCCATCATTAAGAGGTTCGAAGAGGAAGGAAACCCTTACTATTCCAGTGCAAGGTGGGAGCCAGAAAATAACTAACTCCCTGATGGGTGCATCTTGGCAGTTAGGGCAGCAGCTTTACAGAGATCTGCGCAGTTGGGATGCCTCAGCCTTCGTAGGAACCAGAAAATACTGTTTGGACACACTTGCTTTTGTACTCTGTCTCTTTATAATGTGAATACCTATTGGTGAAATGCCACCCCTCCTCCCAGGCTTTTCTGCACTATAGACCACCACCACTGGCTGATTCTGCCCCCTGCCCTTATCCACCCCTAGCTGAGGGGTCTGGGGACTGGAGGGGCCCTGCATCCAAAATGGGCCATGCTAGGATTTGGGAGTAAGAGTTATAATATTGATTGTATCACTTTGAGGAGTTCTAATTTTTGCTTAAAAATATGGATTCCTGTCATACCCCTCTCTTTCACTGTTTTGTTTTTACCCCATTTAAGCATGAAATTGAACACTGAATGGCACTTGTTAACAAGTATCCTCATGCATTTGGAAGGCGATTAGTCATAGCCAAGGTCCACATGTCAGCGCCAAGTAATTACCTCACACACCATTGCAGTTGGCTCTGTTTGTTTCTTATACCACTTAATGAGGTAATAAATTATCACGACCTGTCCCAGTGGGAGACTTACTGGCATGTGTTTTCAGATCTTTTTCAACAACTTTAGTGTTCTCCATTCTGAAGACTAATCTAAGCTTCATGTCTTCTTTTCATCCCTTGGGCAGATGGAAAAAAGAATAACTATTGAGTCATTTAAAATTAGGTTATGCTGTGATTTATGCCATTTACTAGTGAAGGCAAACTGGAGAGGAGGGAGAAAAGAAAATAAAAAGTTAGAATCCATTTAATCATATGAATGCATCTTTTGTGGCAGGCAGTACTCCTAGCACTGAGGGTACAGAGACTAAACATACTCATTTTCAAGAGCATAATTAGTTTGAGAATTCCAGTAATACCATTGGGATTTTTAAAAGGCCTGTTTCTCTCCTTGCTAAACATATTTTAAAATATATTTTTATATTAAATATAATTTATTAAACATGTATTATATTCACTTAAATAGTATATTTAATATATTTATTATATAAATGTATATGTAATATATTTTATATATGGTATATATTTAAATGTATAAATATATTGCATTTATTTGATATAATTAAAATAAATTAAATATAATTTATTGAAATATATTAAATATATTTTTACAAACAGATTTACAGGTATATTTTGTTGTGGTGGGTCATTGATTCATTTAATTAAGAACAAAGTATTTTGTTCTTAGTCAAATATTTGATTTGAGAAGTAAACATGTTCCTTATTTTACCATCACACAAACACATATTGTAGCCAGTAGAAGCAAAGAAACAGTAGAAGACTATATAAAAGTTCTAAGATAAAATATAAAATATATATTGTAAGCTTACCTATAAATTTTTTCACATAGGATTTTGACTGAAATGCACAGGGACAGTTGAAATATTAAACTTTGAAAAATAGCATATTTTGTAGGAGCCGTTGACTTGTTTTTCAGCCCTGGCTAAGATAAGTCATCTCTTTAGAAAGACTGCATCCTTTGTTATTGTCATACTAACAGTATTATTATTTTTTTAATAGATTGCATTCAAGGCAAGAGAACAAGTGATGCAGATAGACTTATCTTTGGAAATAAATTTTAAAAGACAGAATAGTTCTCTGTTTACTTGTAGATATTTAACACTTCTATTCAAACAGTTGGTGGCATTGGAGACAGCAGTTTTCTTTTCAAGCCAGTTTATGGTGCTTCCTTGGGTTTAGTACATCTTAGCTTAACAATAAAATTCCCTGGTCTGCTTAGGCTTGAGCATTGCTAGATCTGTCTTTTCAGGGAGGGAGCTCTGTCGTCATGTGTTACTGGAACCTCCAATGTTTTTCTTAATCCTTACATGTTACATATGCAGCGTGCCAGCTTGCTTCTGCTCAATTGTTTCTATGATCAAACTTGCATCAGGCATTTGATTAGAACCTCTTACCTGGAGCAGTCTTTCTAATAAACATCATTAAGCGGCCCCTTCATCATCCTGCTTGCTGGGTTACTCTGCTGCAAGCCTCAGAAGGGAGTGTAATCAATTCACCTGGGTACAGATTACAAGAGTGGTTTCTTTTTATTGGCTCTTGACACATTAGGGTCCCTATTATGAATGTTTTATGAGCAAAGATTTGATTCGTATGTGTTGATGTAAGGTGGTTTAATAATTGATGCCTATGTTCAGATCCTGAAGGCAGTTTGTTTAAAGAAAGTAAAAGTGCCGCCTACTAATAGCCTTTAATAAGTAATATTTCTCATTCATTTTTATGTATTAATTTGGGGTTGTCAATGAAAAGCAAACTGAAATTTATACTTAAAAGTTTCTTCTGAAATCAGTTTAAAGTTATTACTTGTCTTTCTTATTGTAGCAAAAACTAAAGACCTACATTTGGAAGTATTTATTTTGTTAATAAAATGTACTGTAGCCTATTCAGTACTTTTTATAGTTTCTTAAGAGTTTTGGGGAATATACCTTTTCCAGTAAAGACTCTAGTTTGAGGTTATTACTCGGATTTATGTGGCTCTCCATATTAATAACAGTAATATACTCATTTGATTTGTACATTTGTGTGGGCAGAAAAGGAACAGGAAAGTTTTTCCTGAAGTAAAAATATTTTAAAACCAGGGATTACTTTGAGATTTCTTGTACAGGTTTAGTATCCCTTATCCGAAATGCTTGGGACCAGAAGTGTTTCAGATTTTTTCAGATTTTGGAATATTTGCATTATACTTGTACTTCCTGGGTATTATGCTTACCGGTTGAGCATCCTGAATCCAGAAATCCAGAAAGAAATGCTCACTGGAGCATTTCTTTTCAACATTATGTTGACACTCAAAACGTTTCAGATTTTGGAGCATTTTGGATTTTGGATTTTCGGATTAGGGATGCTCAACCTGTATTAAGTAGTTCCTAAAGCCATAAGGTCGATATGATGTTCTGTGGTGGCCTGGGGCAAAAGTCATGTCATTTTTCTTTTTTCCTTCCCTCTCCCTTCCTCCCCTCAAACATGGGTTCTGTTGTGAGATTATAGTGTACAGATGCTAATCAGTAAATCCATATACTACCTGAAGAAAACCTCCTTGGCATTTTTTGGGCATGGAGTGTATAAATAGTGTTTTGGTGGTAAATTTGTAATAATTCATTTTTTGTTTTTTTATCAGGCTGTGGGATGATGGGATTATTGATCCAGCAGACACCAGACTGGTCCTGGGTCTCAGTCTTAGTGCAGCCCTCAACGCACCAATCCAGAAGACTGAATTTGGCGTCTTGAGGATGTAACTGGAATATAAAACATTTTCCATTGGGCTTGTACCGAAAATTAACACATGTAGTAGCCTTAAGATTTTAGACCTTTTGAGCATGGGGCTATTACCATAAAAACTTTTTTCCTTAACACAGTGCATTGTAAAAAATCAATGACGATATTTATTTGATGAACATCAATTCCTTTTAAATTTTCTTACAGAAATTTCTCTGCAGCTTAAGTTTTACCACCCATAAAATGAAGAGAATAATTTACAGTTATTTTCTAACCCACAATCAGTATGAAAAGTTCTGTAATCTATAAATTCCAGGTATTATTCAGATTATTATAAAAATTTGTATTTTCACTATAATGATTGTTTTGCTGATTGTGCTTGATGATATTTTAACAAACGTATTTTAAAAAAGCATCTATTACTTTTCTCTTCAGCCGTCATTCTGTCTCCTTCCCATAATAGTCAGTCTTCTCATTGTCTGCACTCTAAGCTCTATTTTCTAACCCATTCCCTGCTCACCCAACCCCTTTCTGGCTTCCACTGCCAACAGCTCTCTCCAAACCATTGATCTCCCATGTCGCTGAAACCAATAGGTTCTTTTCTGGCCTCATCTGATTAAACTCTGTAGCATTTTAATCAGTTGAACACTTCCTCATTGAAGGGCTGTCCTTAGCTTCCACAACTTAACACTCTAGGTTTCTGTCAGCCTCTTTGACCATTCATTTTTAGTGTGCTTTGTACACTCTATCTCTACTGCTCCCCCCCTCCCTTATTTTTCTTGGTTTTCATTAGTAATACATGAATACATTCTTATTCTTTTTTTTTTTTCCCTTTTTGTCTTTTTTTACTGACCGGTAACGGGATCGCAACCCTCGGTGTTGTGCCCG